TCCAATGAACACCCAGGACTGATCTCCTTTAGGATGGACTGGTTGGATCTCCTTGCAGTCCAAGGGACTCTCAAGAGTCTTCTCCAACACCACAGTTCAAAAGCATCAGTTCTTCGACCCTCAGCTTCCTTTATATTCCAACTCTCACATCCATACATACCTACTGGAAAAACCATAGCCTTGACTAGACAGACCTTTGTTGGCAAAGTAATATCTCTGCTTTTTAACATGCTGTCTAGGTTGGTCATAACTTTCCTTCCAAGGAGTAAGCGTCTTTTAATTTCATGGCTGCAATCTCCATCTGCAGGGGAGGCTGCTATTAGCAAATTGCACATTCGCCATCATCAGTTGATCCAGTTGAGCCCCTCTATGTGGGCTCACTTCTGTACACCATCCTTTCTGCTAGGGCAGCTTCCATTCTTTAAACTACTCCCTGAAGCAACCCTAAGCTGGAACGGGATCAGGAACAAAGCCTCTGTTCCCCCTTCAAGAGCAATGTGAGCTAAATAGAGTTTTGGCCAGCCTCAGCATGTGCCCACCCATCATGAGTCCTGGACAGCTGCACCCCGTGAGAGGTCACCAAAAACACTTGTAGTAAAACACCCAGGTATTTCATGGAAGTTGAGCTGTTTTCCCCAACAGCAATAGCAGTCAGTCAGGGCCACCACACAGTCATTTCAAATTGCCAGTCCTCCAGGGATGAATGAAAGAGTGAATTCAAGTTATGAGTGGTGCGAATGGGGTGAAATTGTCTAATGGGCAAGAATGTGGGCTCTATAAAAGGAGTGGATTATCTGCAGGAAGAAATGACTGTCAACAGAAATGCTCTGACCTACTTGCCTATTCATTAGCAAGCATTTCTGTTTTGTTGATGCCCTTATCTATTTTGTCACACTTCTGTCATCATGAACAACACAAGGGCATGGCCAGCTTCCGCTACAACCAGCCTCCTCACACAAGAACAGACACCGTTGGCCTTAGAATCTCTATAGATTTCCTGACAAAATAACCCCTTGACAGAATAATGACCCTCCTGAGCCATCTGTAGATAGTCTACCATGAAGCCACAGCAGTCTTCAGCATCCAGGAGCCAAGGTTTCTACCCAGACGCCCAGAAACTGAAGCAATCAGATCTGGCCTTCATAAAGAAACTTTTTTCTGGGTCATTCGAATAATTACAAGTAGACTCCAGCCTTTGGGATTTAATAGAGCAGTAAATTTTCAGAAAAGATTTCAGTGACCCATACAGAGCTGCCAATCTCTTATTTTTCAAGTAAGGACTGTGGCTGTGAGTTCTGTGAAACTGTATTTAATAGTCATTGCTGTCATTTGTTACGGGCTTCCCAGGTGGCCCTAGTGGTGAAGAGCTTGCCTGCCAATGTGGGAGACTTAGAGACATGCATTTGACCCCTGGGCTCGCATTTGACCCCTGGCCTGGGAAGATCGTCTCCACTACGTGTGAGGCTCTGTGCTTGATCTCCTTTAAGCATGTGTGGTTTCTTATGACTCTGGGAGCGTGTCCCGCAAGAGAAGTATTGTCTCCATATGGCAGATAAAGAAAGAGGGTGGGTAAATTACCTAATGCCACACAGCTAATTGATGGCAGAGCCCTGGTTTGCAACCCAGGTTTGTCTGATTCCAAAGCCTGTGTCTTTCCCATTATACTGATTATCCCATCTGAACTATGGGTATATTATTCAGATATGATTTTTAAACATCTGGTCAGAAATTAACACTGAGGTTTGTCTTTGTAGAGAGATTTGGGCATCCATGAAGAATCTTAAGGTTTTTTTTTTTTCCTTTCTAATTGACCTACCTCAGTTTATTCAGTGTTTCTCTAATAGATGTGAAAATCCCATAGAAACTAAAGAGACTTTCAATGCGGCATTGTGACACGATCTTATGTAAACATGTAGATAAACATTTGGTCTGGGGTAGTGAAGAATATAACTTCTTTAAACCTATTCTGCTCAAATGTGACTTGAAATGGGTTGTCACAAAATAAGGCTTAGGAGTATTTCAGTGTTCATTGACCATTAATGATTTGGCTGTAAAAGTGAGTGGCTTCTAGTGGGAAAGACTGTCTCACAGAATTAAAGTTATTGACCACATAAACAGGTTTTCCTGTTCTTTTTAGAACCCTGCCCCACTTCTCTGGCCAGAAAACAGAAGACAAAGGAATAGATTGGGATGATATTTGCTGAGATTATCAAGCTCTCTTTGGGCTGAAGCTTATTCCTCTAAGCCCTATCTTCCCCATACCTCATAGTGTGACTGTATTTGGAGAAGGGGCCTTTAGCTTAGCTCAGTAAAGGTTAAGTGAGGTCACATGGGTGGGCCCTAATTCAGTCTGACTGGAATCTTTATAAAGAGACCAAGAGACACCTGGGGATGCTCATCTACAGAGGAAAGGCCATCTGCAAGTCACGGAGAGAGGCTTCGGGGGAAACCAACCCTGCCCGTATTGGACTTCCAGTCTCCAGAACTGTGAGAAAATAAATTTGTTGTTTAAGCCACCCGGTCTGTGGCACCTACTTAGGGTAGCCCTAGCCAACAAGTGCTTGAGGAATTAGATGTTTTGGCATAAGCTGACACCCCCACCTCACCCTTCATGTCAAGATAGCCAGCTGAGACCTCAGTAGAACATAGAAGGGCTTTTACTCTCCAGGAAAGATGGTTTACATTGAGACTGAGGATCTGCTAGAGAAAAGATTTTCCTGAGAGAAGAGAGGAAATGAGTATCAAAGTGTGATTTTTTTTTTTTTGACAGTTAGACCACTGACAGCTATCAGGTAGGTATGTGTGTTTCTCTCTTTTTGCTATATAAAGCACCTTATAATAATAGTCTAGTAATTATTTATCCCGTGATTGCTCATTTCTTCCCTTAGTTGACAGCTAAACTTTATGAAAGGATTTTATTGGCTAGAGCACTGGCTTACAGGGTGGGTTTCTACCGGTTTACTTGGGCTTGAATCTTGTCCTAGCCACTTTCCCACCTGTGTGATTTTGGGCAAATTACTTCACTCTCTTGTGCCTCAGTTTCTTCATCAGTTAAAATAGAAATAATAGTATTTTCTTTGTAGGGTTGTGTGAGAATTAATGTATGTAAAGTGCCTAGAAGGATGCCTGCCATAAAGTAAGCACCTAATACTATTGGCTGTTATTATTTTAGCTTGGGTCTTTCTCTGTGCGTGGATAACTGGTAGCACATGGTTTCACCAAGATACCTCAGCCCCGCTGAAATTACCAGTGTAGTATTAAAGAAGAATGAACAGCCTTAAGAACAGCAGCTATTACATCTCAGTGTTTAGCATCATCTAGGAAGTTGACGTACAAATTCCTGGGCCCTGTCTCCAGAGATTCTGACTCGCTAACTTGGGATGGAACCCAGAAATCTGTCTTGCAGTAGACACCTTAGGTAATTCTAACATGTGGTTCTCAGAACACCCATTAACCACTAATCCCGGGGAATTTCTTCTATATTCAAGGCTATTAAATTATGGTAAATGCAATTACTTACTTATCATGAGTCTATAATAATTTTCACTTAAAGTATTTGAAGTGTTTCAATAAAGCTAATTTAGGTCAGTCATGAGTATATAAACTTCCTTTTTAAAATCATCTAAATGAATTTCCATAAGTGTTAATATGAGCTGTTAAGAAGCTCAAAGAAATTCTGTATTGGATGTACAACTCGGTTTCTTTTAAGACAGTTTCTCTCAAGCTGAGTCCTTCAAAGTGAGGGCACGTTGTCCAGTACGCCCTGAGTGCTGCAGCCTGCAGAGCGAACTGAGTTGAGGACAGAGAGAGACCCGGAAGCAGTTAACGCGCACAGAGGGCGGGGCCTCGTTCATTTGGACAAAACAGTCCAGTCAGCCAGAAAGCGGCCCGCTAGCTATGCAAATTAATTAGGAAGTCTTGCGTGTAGATGATGATAGCTGGGAGATTTTTTTTTTTTTTTTTTTCTTTATGGGGGCTAGGACGCTGGAGCTAAAGACGTTCTGGGGGTGGCTTACAGAAAGCCTTGTCCTGAGCTGAAACTGGGTGTTCTGCCTGGAGCTTGATAAGATACCAGTGTTTCCAGGTTCAGAAGAAAGGGTGGTTAAGGTTGAGTGCTGGGATAACTTTGGAACTGAAAAACCTGATTTACTGTGTTATGATGAATTCTGAAAATCTGTGCCACTGTTAATTATGGGACTGAAGTTTAGAGCTGAATTTTTTCCCCCATTGGTCAAGTTGCTCTGCTCAGGTGATGTGAGAATACTCATTATTGAGCAAATAAAGATCAGGTTCAAAGGGGAGAAATACCAGATCTCTCAGCTGCTGTATAGAAACTTATCAGGACCAGATTGGTGAGTTTTCTGTGTGAAGAGAAGGGTGGTGGTGGTGCCTGGAGCTTGTAACCTGTGTAACTCACTTGAGTTCTGAGGACATCATAGGGGGAGATTTTTGGTTATTCAGCGGTGTGGTGGTACGGTGTTTGTTTTTAAAAAGCTAATCGGTTTTAACAAAGTGGAGTAAAATAGACACTACTGGTATTTTTTAATAATATGCATGGGATGGAAGCTTTTATTTCTTTTGGCGCACTGTGTGGCTTGTGGAATTTTTGTTCCCTGACCAGGGATTGAACCTGGGCCTTCAGCAGTATGGAATCCTAATCTCTGGACCAACAGGGAATTCCTTACTGGTATTAATCTAAGGGTAAAGAATCTGCCTGCCAATGCAGGAGACATAAGAGATGTGGGTTCAATCCTGGGTGAGGAAGATCTCATAGTGGAGGAAATGGCAGCCCACTTCAGTATTCTTGCCTGGGAAATCCCATGGACAGAGGAGCGTAGTGCGCTACAGTCCATGGGGTCTTAAAGAGTCAGACATGACTGAGCATGCACATGCACACACGCACACACACACTGATTGTTAATCTAGAAAGTTTTCAAATTGGACTCCTTAAAATCTTCATGCTGTTTTTAAGATAAAAATTTACTTAGATACTATTAGTTCATTGATTCTTTTCCCTTATAATAATTATATAATGCATACTAAGAAATCAAAATTATTGAATTTATATACTTGGAACTTATGTATTCTACTGATATGTATGTATCCATGCATGTATATATTGTATAAAACTTATAATTAATAGCATATAGATGCCATAAGTTATTTCTAAGTCAAGATGCCTCAGCTATATTAATATAATTATTTTTCTTAATGTTGAGGTTTGTCGACCAAAGTGATTTTTTTTTTTTTAATGTATTTACGCCTTGGGGGAAAAAGCCATTTAAGTAGGCAGGTGTTTTTGTTTAATTTTTAACTCTATCGTCTCTGTTATCTGAATTTGTGTTGTTGCCATAGGACCACATTGTTTGGACAGTTATCTTTAGGAATTGAGGAATTCTTGTCCTTTGTGCTTAATTGTCCCAAAGCATTTTAACATATCACTTATTATTATAAAAACAGTATATATTTACTGTAGAATATTTGATAATTACAGAAAAGCATGAGAAAAATCCTCCACAATTCTAGTACACAGTGATAAACATTTAACTGCCATTAGAACATCATCTAGTCTTTTAAACTCTCTCTCCATATGTATAAACAGAGTGTATGTGTGTATTAAACACAAATTAGGAACATACTGTGATACTGTATTTACTTAACATTATAGCATTTTAACATATTCCTATTAAATTTCTTCAAAAATATTATTTAATAACTATATAATAGTTTATCTACATTTCTCCAGGATTTAAGATTTTTTTAACTTTTTGCTACAGTCAATAATACTAATCCTTCTTGTGCAGAAATATTTAAAATATTAAATATAACTTTGTTACATAAACATAACTTTCTTAATTCAAAATAAAGCCAACTGGAATTAGTGGCTAAAGGTAATAGCATCTCTAGGGATTGTGATCCATTTTTCTCAAATTTTCCTCTACAAATCCACATTTTTACATGCCCATTAACAGAATATCAGCACCTATTTCACCACACCTGCAAGAATGAATGTTAACTTTAGAAACAGTTTTGCCCATCTAATAGTGAAGTGGGATGTCTCATTGTTTTATTCACTTTCCATTTATTACTATTGAGGTTGGACATATTTTCTTATGATGGTTGGCCCATTATCTTAAGAAAATAGCATATGATTTTTAAAGCAGACTTGCCTAAGACAACACAGCTATGACAGTTCACAGTTAACTCCATTGCATTGACATCTTCACTGTTGTACTAATTGTCAGCCTCCCACAGTCCATTAAAGGATTTTTTTTTTTAAGAAGTAAAGTATTTGTTAGGATAATAAAGAGCGTGAGCTTCTGTGTACAACGGAGTCTCAGCCCTGCCGTTTAGTCTTATGTAACCTAAACAAGTTGCTTAACTTCTCTAAGCTGCAGTTTCCTTGACTGTAAATAAGGCTGATAATCCTCACACTAATTCTCATAATAATGAGATAGGAATTATTAAAGCATTCAATAAAATGCAGCTACTATTGAAACAGAGAAATGTTTCTCTGCTATTTACCCAATAGGTATGTCAAGGCACTGTAGCATGCTTCTTAGAAGCCAGAACTTTTCAAATCCCAACAAGTTGCATGTTTTACTTTATTTTATTATTTAAATTTGCTGTCAGTAGCACAGCTAGTGGGACATTTTTAATAGAAAAAAAGGCAGGGGCGGGTTGGTACATCACCTGGGCACCTGGGCTGCTAGCTCAAGTGTGTGATTTCAGGAGTCTTGCAGGACACTGAGGTGTCTGCTGGTGTGGTGCTTGGTACTTTAGAAAGTTGCTCCCAGACTGATAGGATAAACCCACTTTCCCTTCTTCCTTCTTCCCCCAAAGGGTGAAAGAAAGAGCACTCCTTTAATAATGTTGCCAAGCTCATGTGCTCATTCAAAGGTCATTGCATGAACTTGGCTTTTCTTTTCAACATTGTGCTCGTGTATCCACCTGCCTGTTGGTCTAGAGTTTGGTAAATACAGTGTAGATTCTCATTTAGAGACTTTCTTTCCTCGAGAAGTCTGTTCTTTGCTTAGTGGATTTGAGATGATAAATATGTTGATCTTGAAAGATAAGTTTCAAGTTTTAGATGAAGCTTCCACCTGAGGTTGTGAGTGTGATCTCTACTGGCCACTCAGACGTGCTCGCAGGTTGACTCACTCTCTGAACTGCTTTCTGTTTCACATTCTTGTACTTTCCCAGCTGACAGTTCAGCGGGTGGGTGCCTGTTCCACCGGCTGCTGCAACCAAACAGCCAGGTTCAGAAATGTCAGATATCCTCCAAGAGCTGCTCCGAGTCTCTGAGAAAGCTGCCAACATTGCCCGGGCGTGCAGGCAGCAGGAAGCCCTCTTCCAGCTGCTGATAGAAGAAAAGAAAGAGGGAGAAAAGAACAAGAAGTTTGCAGTTGATTTCAAGACCTTGGCTGATGTGCTGGTACAGGAAGTTATCAAAGGGAATATGGAGAACAAGGTAAGGAATGTCACAGCCAAGGTAATTGCAAATTATTTGCCCCTGTGGTTCCCCCCCATAAAATACCTCGCCTCCTCCTCCCCACCACCTGCCCCCCAGCACCATGGATTCTAATCAGCAACTAGGTTTTCCCCCCTTATTTTGACTGCAATATTACTAAAATGTGTGTCACAGGAAAAACTTAAATGTTGAAAAATAATCCTCCTAATTCTATCACTAGAGAAAACCACAACTGTTTTTGCTAAATATTAGAATGTTTTCCTTCTGTGTGTGCATGGCAGGTTAAACTTAACTCCAAAGAAATGAGAACATACTATTTTATAACTTTTTTTTTATTAAGTCCCACTTTTTGACATAGTCATTTACCTAATGGTTGCCTCAGTGATAGCCTCATAGGGTTCTGGAGACTTAAAGTCTCTCTTTATTTTAGTAGGAAAACATTGTTTGTAACTAACAATGATTGTAATTCTAGGTCTTTTAAGCTGACTAGGGTAAATAAACTATATTCATAAGCAGTTATAGCAAACAGTAACATTAGCAGGCACTTGTAAATGCTTACTGTGAGCCAAGTACTTATCTAAGGGCTTTAAATATATTAGTTTAACTCATAACAATCTTATGAGAACTATTTCAATGTAATGGAAGAGAAAAGGGAGACACAGAGGTTAAATAACCTGCCTAGTGTTACACAGCGAATGAACGGTAGAGCTGGTTTGGTTTTTTTTTAGAGCTGGTTTTTGAACATGGGCTGACCAGCTCCAGAGTCTATGCTGTTTGTGATACCATATTACCTTTTATATAATAATCTAATTACTTTTCTTTTAGATTTGGGAGGATAGAATTTTACATCAGAAAGCCCTACAAAATATTGGAATTGTTTCTATGACATTCTCAAAATGTTAGGAATTGTTTAGAATCATTTAAGTGAGTCCTTGACCACAGGTAGGAAGAGAGAATAAATGACCCCTTGAAATTTCTACAGACCGTTTTCTTTTTCATGCCCTATACTATCTGGATCCAGTGTAAGGAAATTTATTTTTGTTACTGATCAAGAGAGCTGGGTGGAAGGGATGGTTGAGCAACTAGATTAGAAATGTAAGTTTTGTGGGCTAATATTTGCCTCAGAGCGTTATAATAAGTTCAGGCAATTGTTCATTCATGAAGTATCTGCCAAGATTTATGAATACATAAATGATACTCACTTTTGGTATGTATAAAATATCGTGACTCTTATGTACTGTAGCCTCAGAAAGGGTCTCTAGGCAAATTGGGAGACTGGAGCTTCAGCCTTTGATGACTTGATCAATAGGTTCAGTGCCAGTATGTGTTGACTTGCATTGTTCTTCCAAATAGTTAAAAATAACAAGTAGTTGTGGGCACTGTTACATCTATTGGCCATTTGTGAATAACTGAGCTCAAATATTTGAAGCATTTCCTTGCTTTCATTGCCTGAGAATTGTACTCATACCATAATTCAGCACATATTTTGAGAGAAATTATCTTTACTACAGAGAAAATCAGAAGCAAAATGTGTCTGAAAGCTTCCTGGTCATACAGACATGAGAGAAGTTTCCTATTTAGCTTGTTTCTTTTTGTTTGTTTTTTCATTCCATCAAAATATTGATGCATAAGTTGTTGGCAAATATTTCCCCTTTTTTGCTACATTGCCTTCCTAGCCTGATGGCTAATGATACCTTAACATGTGCAGAAAACAAGATTAAATGTCATCCTCTGCTCCTTTCTCTCCAGTCTCAACTAAGCATCTCAGGTGCTTGGGCAGTAACAGTAACTTGTATAAGTTACTTGGGTACTTTGTAGGAGCAGCAGTTAAAACATCTCCTTTGTAAACATTCTAGGAGGATGAAGTTCTAGAAGTACTTCTGCAGACTCAACAGAACATAAGGAAACCAGACTTTTACCATGACTTGGACTTTCTAAAGGGGCAAAGGAGCAGGAAAGTGTTAGAAAACTACTGGTATTAGAAAAGTGCTGAACCAATCTGACTTCACTTAGTACACTTGGATTGATTTCTGGAATTGTAAACTTCCAAATTTCTGACCTACTTGTGCTATTTAGTTTGAAATATAAAGTGGGAATCTATTCAGAATTGAACATGAATGTGGGACTTTTTTGTTGCTGCTTTGTATTCTTGTCATATTCTGAATCATTCAGTTTCCAGGCTTGGGGGAAAAAATTTTTGGAGAAGAATCCAATGAATTTACTAATGATTTGGGTAAGTACAAGAATCTTAATATATTTTTATAACTTAATTATCGTATGGTATTTTTATTTTCGACTTACACGTGAAAGTAATGTTTGGAGGCCTTTCATGTAAATAACATATTTGAATGTTCAACTTCATTCAGCACTTCAGGATAACCTGCCCCGTAAGACAGAGATGTGGCATCTTAGAATTATTTAGCAAGTTCACATGTATTCTAGATAGAACTCTGTAGCATTGAATAATGGTTTAATCTTTGGGAAAGTTGCATGGCCCCTTGAGAATCTGATGGAAGTTATAGATGCCCCCCAAAGGATGCAGATCCACACAGATGTACAGACCATCTCAGGTCCAAGTAGACCCATTTGTGGACCTCCCGGAGAGCGCACGGCTTCCCTGGTGGGTCAGCAGTAAAGAATGTACCTGCCATTCAGGAGACCCAGGTTTGATCCCTGGGTCAGGAAGAGCCCCTGGAGAAGGGCATGGCAGCCCACTCCAGTATTCTCGTCTGAAGAATCCCATGAACAGAGAAGCCTGGTGGGCCCCAGTCCATGGCGTCACACAGGGTCGGGTAGAACTGAGTGACTAACACTTTGGGTAGCCCAGACCTAGGCTGAGAATTTAGAGGAGGCCCTGTCTCTGAACAACCTCACTGCTTCTCTGGTCTCGGAACCTCGGTAAGGGAGCTGGACAACCTGAAAGCTTCATTTGAGCACCAAGGTTTAACTCTAGTCAGTTTCCTGTGAGCCAAATTCTCCTTTGATGGACCCCTATGTTCCCTTGTGGTAGAGAGAAAAATACAAAATCTCTGACCCTTTTTTAGAGAAGCCAGCGGTTTTTAGTTTGCCTGGGTTTTGTTTGTTTAATGGTAGAAGATTAAAATGGTGAACTTTAAACAGATCATGTGACAAATAGTTAAACATCTAGAGGCATATTTACAAAGAAAACTAATTTCTGGATCAACTCTGGAAAAAATTTGTCATTTCATGGGCTGTGTATTAAGATACAGTTAGTTCTGTGACACTCAGTAAGAAGAAAGAGAAATCTCAGTTAAACTTAAGGTTAAAAAAATCACCTGCGACTTACCCATAAGAAATCCTACACTTAAAAACCTATATTTGGCTACATCATAAACAGTTATTGTAATATTTATCTAGAATGATCGGGGCAAAAATGCATCCCACGTACATTTCCTGAGAACTGGAGGAGAGGATGGATTTAGTATATTGGAAGGCAGAGACCCATGGTGAAGGAGGGGCTGGTGGATGAGGTGAGATGAGATCATGGAAGTTCAAAGGAAGGCGTTCCCTTAAGTATGATGAGAATTCAGTGGTAAGTTTTACGCATAGAGTAACGTGATATGATTTGCTCCTTTGAGTGAACCCATGACTTTTACTGAGCCTAGAGTAGCTGCTCAGCAAGTGGTGGTGATTAACATTATTCCCCAACTTTAACAATCTGATTTAATTTGAATTAAACTTAATTGACTGATTCTTGCTGTTTTAGAATCATCATTGTGATAGATTCACAGTGTGCTTCCCAAAATCGCAGGAGTCACCGGGGGATCTTGTCAGACCTCAGCAGGTCTGGGATGGGGACTGAGGTTCTGAATTTCTAACAGGCGCTGTGGTGATGGCAATGCTGCTGGTTCTTGGAATGGCTAGGTTAGTTAGGAGTGTTTGTTGAGATACCTCAAGAGCCCGAAAGTGCCATGTTTTCTTAACTTTTAAAAATTTATATTCTGCATTGCTGTCACTTTTTGTTGGTAAAACTTGTAGGAGAGCCTCTTTTCCCCTTTGTGCTTTGGGGGTTGGAAACCAGATGAAGCAAGTGTCTAAGAAGGATCTTTAAAGTGATGGCAAACACATGGACTTGGTAACTTGGGGTTTCAATTGCAGAAGCAGCTTTGCTTACATTCTGATTTCCAGTGGTTTCACAGAGGAGAGCTATTCTCTGTATGTGATTTAGAGTCCTACAGCTTTACCACATTTAAAGATGAATGTACGTCATCTTATATTTACGGAGCATAGACAGTTTTTAGTTAAAAGCAGCATCATAAAGGGAGGTGGAAGCCCTTCTGTGTCCTTATTAAAAACTCTTTTCTTTTCAATCAACATATTCAAACATGAACAGGGAGACCTCCAGGATATTAAAAGTCACAAGGTAAAAAGCATAGAAGGTTGTTGATCAAAGACTCAGGGTTCAGGATTCTTAACATGAGCTGCCTTAAACTGGTTACAGAAAACTGCATGTGTCCATATGGAAACTTTGGAGAGAAGGTCCTTTGGTGCCTGGAATTCATTTCTCACTGTGAGGTAGCTGAGTGACCAATAAATCAGCTTCGACTTTATGAAGCCCACTGGGCGGTTTTGGTGGTCAGCCAGGTTAGGAGACACTTGTCTGGATATCGTGTGTGTGTGTGTGTGTGTGTGTGGTGTTGCTCAGTTGTTGTGTCCGATTCTTCGTGACCCCATGGACTATAAGTCCACCAGGGTCCTCTGTCCATGGGATTCTCCAGTGTAGAATAGTGGAGTGGGCTATATTTAAAATGGATAACCAACGGAAACCTACTGCATAGCACATGGAACTCTGCTCAGTATTCTGTGCCAGCCTGGATGGGAAGGGAGTTTCGGGGAGAATGGATACGTGTATATGCATGGCTGAGTCCCTTCACTGCTCACCTGGAACTATTGTTAATTGGCTATGTACCCCAATACAAAATGTTTTGGTGTTAAGGAAAAAAAAAAAAAATGAATAGTGGAGTGGGCTGGATATGTTGTCCTCACCTAATCTAAGGTGCTTCTCCCAATCTCCTGTTCTTTCTCCTCTGAAACTTGAGATGTAATGGTCTTCAGTTTGTGTTTACTCTAGGGGAGAAGATTATCATGAGACTGTGTCCAACCGAGGAAGAAACAGTAGCCCTTCTCAGCAAAGTCCTTAATGGTAACAAACTGGCATCTGAGGCCTTAGCCAAGGTTGTCCACCAGGATGTTTTCTTCAGTGATCCAGCCCTGGAGTCAGTGGAGGTCAGCATTCCACAGGACATCTTGGGAATCTGGGTGGATCCTATAGGTAAGCAGAGGAGAGTGTTTGCTTTTGTCTCTTTGCTTTCCTTAGTAATCCTTTTTTTGAAGGGGGGTGTTGGAAAAATGAAAATTGAGGATATGGTTTAACTCTCCTAGAAGTTTTAAATTTTTGAAGTTTTAAAATGACAAACGACTCTCACAACTGGGTTCAACCCCCGGTTGGGAAACTGAGATCCTGCAAGCTACACACTGGGGCCTAAAGAAATAAATAAATGAAGAGTTGAGGTGTGTATTATATACATATACACATATATTTATAACACACATGTGTGTATACACACACACACAGAGGCAGATATACAGAACTGAATTAACTCATTTTTGAAAGACCTCAGGGGCCAGACTGCTAAATATGAGAGAAGAATGAAATGATAGCAGCTATAACTAATTGAACACACACACATCTTAAGAACATTCAGCTCTGGCAGGTTATTACCATCTGGGAGTACAGTGCAGATCTTCAGATTTAAAAATAATAAAAACACAAATCCAGGTTTTTAATGAGCTCTCACAATTTAACTCCTGGCTCCTAATTCAGTTAAGTAAGTAAACAAGCAGAACCACTGCACAGGTCAAGCAAAACACAACTGAATGCGACTCCTAGCAGTCACTTTGTGAGTCCTGTGTATACCTTACCGTTATTTTTTTGGTCATGATTGTGGTAGAACCATAATCTATAGTTCATTGCTTTAAAACTGTAGGCCAGTCTCAATGATGCCGTTAATATAATGCCCTGGGTCTAAGTCCCACTTTTCCCCCAGGTTCTTGGCATAGTCTACCCAGTACAACTGGGACCAATCATTAAGCTGAGTAGGCAAACTCCCCTCACCCTCTCCCCTACAAGCACGCTGATACGTGATATAAATGCCTTTAATCATAGCAGTAGAACATTCAGTCAGTGGAGTGTTACGCAGACTACGAATGTTTCCCAGAATCTTTTATCGCCTAAAGGTAAATCAGCCTCAGTTATGGGTTTTGAGGAATGGAAACCTTGTTTTGTTTTTATCCTGAATTGATTCTCTTAGCTAGCTCTCTGGATCTTGTGCCTCGCACATCCTTAACTGGGTATTAATTCACTATATGTTGGCAGTCAGCTGCTGGCAGGTATGTCTTTTAAGGAGAAACCTCACTCCTTAGCTTCTTTTTCCCAGGCTCTTTGTGATCCTATGGACTGTAGCCTACCAGGCTGCTTAGTCCATGGGATTTTCCAGGCAAGAGTACTGGAGTGGGTTGCCATTTCCTTCTCCAGGGGATCTTCCCAACCCAGGGATCGAACCTGAGTCTCCCCCATTGTAGGCAGACGCTTTACTGTCTGAGCTTCTTCCTCTTGTGACACCAGCGTCTCTTTCCTCCTAATTTGAGGGACAAAACAAACAAAAAGGCAATTCCATCCCTGATGGAATTCAAATGGAATGGAATTCAGATTCCTGGAAGGAGACTTTCCCACCCACCTTGGTTGGACCTGTCCTCTGGTTAGTAAGAACTCAAAGGGATCCCCCAGTTATCCTGAGCCATTACCTTTTAGATGATTTTGACATGGTGATGAATATTTGAGTGCTTCTTACCATTTGCAAGGTGTTATGCCCTTGAGAGGGGACTGGCTCCCCACTCTAGTATTCTTGCCTAGAGAACCCCATGGACAGAGGAGCCTGGTGACTCCAGTCCTGTGGGGTCACAAAGAGTTGTTCATGACTGAGCGATTAACAACACAAGAAGGAAGGAAGCTAGCTGCCATAGGAATTATAGACATGTCTCCTTTCTCCAAGAATTTATGTATAGTTGGGAAAATGAAATGCAAGCAGCTTCAGAGCAAAGTACAAAAGGTCAAATAATAGTTCCATCTAAGTGGCACCCAAAGGTAAAACGTGATTGGTTATTATCTTAGTCCATTTGGGCTGCTACAACAAGATACCATGGACTAGGTAGCTTTTAAACAAGATAAATTTATTTCTCACAGTTTCAGAGGCTGAGAAGTTTGGTATCAAAGTGCCAGCATGATTAGGTGAGGGTCTTCTTCCTGATTCATAATTGGCATCTTTTCACTGTGTACTCAGACAGTAAAGAATCTGCCTGCGATGCTGGAGACCCGGGTTTGATCCCTGGGTCAGGAAGATCCCTGGAGAAGGGAATGGCAACCCTCTCCAGTAATCTTGCCTAGAGAATCCCATGGACAGAGGAGCCTGGCAGGCTACAGTCCATGGGGTTGCAAGAGTCAGACCCGACTGAGCTACTTAACACACACACACACACAAGTGGAAGAGACAGAATCTGTGGAACCTCTTTTGTAAGGCATTAATTCCATTCATGAGAGTCCACCCCGAGGACTGAAGTACCTCCCAGAGACCCCACTTACTAATACCATCAACTTTTGAGGGTTAGAATTTTGGGGGACACAAACATTTAGACCATAGCTGTTAGCAAATTAGAAATGATCTAGGACAGGTTTTATAGGGGTCGTCTTCATTATCTTCTAAATAATCATTACCTGAATCCTAATAGTTGCTTCATTTTTCAGATTCGACATATCAGTATATAAAAGGTTCTGCTGACATTAAACCCAACCAAGGAATCTTCCCCAGCGGACTTCAGTGCGTCACGATTTTAATTGGTGTCTATGACACACGGACAGGGGTGCCTCTCATGGGAGTCATCAACCAGCCTTTTGTGTCACAAGACCTAAACACCCTCAGGTAAAAATGGAATATTTTTGGTATATTATGGTTTTCAGAGTTTACAACCTTAGCTTTGTTTATTGTCAGGATTATCTCTCCATGTGACATTCCCATGACTCAATACAGTTGGCATTCCTACTAGAAATCTCCATGTTTGAATCAATGGTCCTTTAATTTTCAATCCTGGGTTTCACAACAAAATGTGAAAATGATCTAACGAAAAGACAGTAAGTATGGCCAGGATTAGAACCTCTCCCTATAAAAACAAAAAAACTGTCAGTATCACTTTCTTTTCTGCCTCCTCCTTCCTCACACTCCCATGGACTTTGGTATCAAAGTGCCAGCATGATTAGGTGAGGGTCTTCTTCCTGATTCATAATTGGCATCTTTTCACTGTGTACTCAGACAGTAAAGAATCTGCCTGCGATGCTGGAGACCCGGGTTTGATCCCTGGGTCAGGAAGATCCCTGGAGAAGGGAATGGCAACCCTCTCCAGTAATCTTGCCTAGAGAATCCCATGGACAGAGGAGCCTGGCAGGCTACAGTCCATGGGGTTGCAAGAGTCAGACCCGACTGAGCTACTTAACACACACACACACACAAGTGGAAGAGACAGAATCTGTGGAACCTCTTTTGTAAGGCATTAATTCCATTCATGAGAGTCCACCCCGAGGACTGAAGTACCTCCCAGAGACCCCACTTACTAATACCATCAACTTTTGAGGGTTAGAATTTTGGGGGACACAAACATTTAGACCATAGCTGTTAGCAAATTAGAAATGATCTAGGACAGGTTTTATAGGGGTCGTCTTCATTATCTTCTAAATAATCATTACCTGAATCCTAATAGTTGCTTCATTTTTCAGATTCGACATATCAGTATATAAAAGGTTCTGCTGACATTAAACCCAACCAAGGAATCTTCCCCAGCGGACTTCAGTGCGTCACGATTTTAATTGGTGTCTATGACACACGGACAGGGGTGCCTCTCATGGGAGTCATCAACCAGCCTTTTGTGTCACAAGACCTAAACACCCTCAGGTAAAAATGGAATATTTTTGGTATATTATGGTTTTCAGAGTTTACAACCTTAGCTTTGTTTATTGTCAGGATTATCTCTCCATGTGACATTCCCATGACTCAATACAGTTGGCATTCCTACTAGAAATCTCCATGTTTGAATCAATGGTCCTTTAATTTTCAATCCTGGGTTTCACAACAAAATGTGAAAATGATCTAACGAAAAGACAGTAAGTATGGCCAGGATTAGAACCTCTCCCTATAAAAACAAAAAAACTGTCAGTATCACTTTCTTTTCTGCCTCCTCCTTCCTCACACTCCCATGGACTGTTCGCAGAGCATAGAGGGTGACCCAGCCTTTGGTGCCCTGATCCACAGCCTACGGATCAGAGTATGCCAGGGTTGACTCCAGAGCCTGGCAGGGTTCAAGCAGAAGCAGCTTTTCTCCTGTGGTTTCAGCTTTTTACTGAAATAGATGACATTTTCTCCCGCTCGTGTAAAACTACTTTTAAATTAAATTTTGACTTGCTTCAAGCAACTAGGAATTGTTTGTTCTTTAATAGTCATAAACTACACCTCTGCAGTATCGATATTTTTCATCTTCCCTGCCTTCTACCAAACTGAAAGTGTTTGTTATCTTTAAAGGGTCGTTAAGAAGTTAAAAATCAGTGGGACTGGATGTTGACATAATCATGACCTAGAAATGGTTGGCAAAGTAGTTGGTGGCACAAATCCTGGGTTTGATTGCAGATTCTACCACTGATATACATTCTTAAGCACTTGCATTCTCTAAGCCTCAGTCTCCTTCTCTGGAAAGAAACTATCCAGCGTATATAGTAAGTTAAACATTGAGAAATGATTGATGGTATTTTTGTTGTTGCCCCCCCCCCCCCCCCCGCCAAAAAAAAAAGAGTCCATTTTTGTTGATGTTAAAGCCAAAGTGGCGCTAGTGAATTGGAGGATGAAAAGGTGTTACCAACTGAAAAAAATTCAGGATTGTGAAAGATTTGCAGATTGAAAATCTTATTTATCTGTTCATCTTTACCCCCGTTAAACTTTAAATGCCAAAAGAGGCAGTGAAACTTTGCTGTGTTCCCAGAGGCTAGAAATCCCACAAATATTTTAGCACTGTCCTAGATGGATGTGATAATGCAAAAAAAAAAAAAAACTGAAAGCATTCCTAACTGGCAACAACACAGGCAGCAACAGGCACAGGGTGTGACTTTTGGAAATGAATTAGCTATTTGGTAACTATCTCTAGGCTGAAAGGCCTTGAGACTCAGGCATTATGTATTTTTCACCTCAAGTTGGGAAGCCATGGGAGCAATGAAAAACAAATGTGTTCACTTGCTGCCACAAACTGAACGTTCTCTTCCATAGGTGGAAAGGACAGTGCTACTGGGGCCTTTCTTACTTGGGGACCAACATCCATTCCCTTCTGCCTCCTGTCTCTACAAGAAGCAACAGTGAAACGCAGAGCCAAGTGACCCAGAAGCCCAGCTCCGAAGGCTCCCACCCGTTCGCAGCTGTCATCAGCACCAGCGAAAAGGAGGCCATCAAGGGCGCGTTGTCGCGCGTGTGTGGAGAGCGCGTCTTCCGGGCGGCTGGGGCTGGCTACAAGAGCCTCTGTGTGGTGCTCGGCCTCGTCGACATTTACATCTTCTCAGAAGACACCACGTTCAAGTGGGACTCCTGTGCTGCCCACGCCATCCTCAGGGCCATGGGCGGGGGCATGGTGGACTTAAAGCAATGCCTGGAAAGAAATCCTGACGCGGGGCTTGACTTGCCACAGTTGGTGTATCACGTGGGAAACGAAGGCGCCGCGGGAGTGGATCAGTGGGCCAACAAGGGAGGACTCATCGCGTACAGATCAGAGAAGCAGCTGGAGGCGTTCTTGGGCCGCCTCCTCCAGCACCTGGCCCCTGTGGCGACACATACGTAGATGAGCTCTGTCCTCGCGGGCTCCGCAACCCAACTGTGAACCTAGTTTCCACATCTCTGTCTCTTGAAGACGGCTTTGTCCTATTTGACAGTCAACATTCACCTTCCTCTTTGGGGGAGCATTTTTCCATTATGTGTTCATAATGTTAATAAATGAATGATATTCATGCAGCAGTTAAATGTGTGAGATTCTCTATAGTAGATTTTGTGTGATGGTGGCTCAGAGGTTTAAAGCGTCTGCCTGCAATGCAGGAGAGCTGGGTTTGATCCCTGGGTCGGGAAGATCCCCCTGGAGAAGGAAATGGCAACCCACTCCAGTATTCCTGCCTGGAGAATCCCATGGATGGAGGAGCCTGGTGGGCTACAGTCCACGGCGTTGCAAAGAGTCAGACACGACTGAGCGACTTCACTTTCTTTCACTTTCGGTGCTGCTTGAAACGCTTCAGTAAAATATTGAAGACAGGAAAAATTCCTGCTCAATTAATAAAAGTCTTCAGAACATGAGTTTAGAAGTGGTAAGTTAATGTCACTGAAGTATTAGGGAGAGCAAAGGGGGTTGTGCTTAGTTTTGTTTCCTGTCTGGAACAAAAATCTTCAGCTTTAGCCTTTGGTAGAACATTTAGAACTCTGAATTTGAAGCATAATTTAGCCATTTTCATGTGCTTTCAGTGACACTATGTTCCTTATAAGAATTAAAGCCTGGAGCGCTGAGCATCCTACTCATGCACTCTCACACTCACACACATCCACACTCATACACACATTCTGAAACTCTCAAATTTATATTTTTATTCTCTCATTCTGATTCTTTGATTCTGCCACTAATTATGTCTCTAGTTCTCTCTCATCCTCTCACTTAACATACTTTTATTTCTGTCGGTAATACAGGAGAGGATAAAGACGTTTCTGTAGTTTTTGCATAGTATTTATTACACTTCAAAAACCAGAGGTAGAGTTAAATATATATAGTCGTTGGTCTACTAGAATCCCATGTTGAATGTCCTCTGAGGAGGGTGAGACCTCCTTTTCCTGTCTTTAGCAGCCCTGGTGAGGAGATAGTTCCACCATCTGGAGAGACCAAACTCAGCTATCTCCTTTCTACCCCATGCCCTCTTGAGGCCAAAAGATTTTCTGCAGCATCCTCTGTTTTCCAGCAATTACAAAGGAATCACAGTAAGTGAAACTTTTATTTTTTTAAATTTATTTATGTTAATTGGAGGCTATTTAAAGGTATCTCATTGCACACAGCAGATTTAACGACTTATTTAGTAAAAAAGTTACGTAGTTTTTAAAGTCTGTACGTGCTTTGTGATTGATCGTGGGTCCTCATGCTGTATATTCTAATTTTAAAGGTTGATTTTTAAGTCAAAGTGAGTTCATTCTTCACAAAACACATTAGAAACTAAACCCCAGAAACTAGTCGTGCTGCCTGATATTCACCAGAATGGAAAAATAGAATATAGTTCAAGGAAAAGCATGTTGCACACCTAAACATTTTTAGAATATGTAAATTATCAATAACAATGCAGTGAAAAGAGTCATCTTCAATGTGATCTATTTATTTATGTGATCTATCAATGTGCTAGTTTATTGGGGGGAAAACTGGATAGAACAGAGACTCCAGCATATTCTGTAAACATCTATTGTACACATCCATTGTCAATCTGGATGTGTAAGCTAGGGCCCTTCCTTAAGCATGTGGGTGCTGGTCTTGCATAAACCACACCATGGGAGTGTGATCTGTAGCTCTGATTTCTTTCTTTTTGGCTGCACAGTGTGACTTTCCGGATCAGGTTCAGTTCTCAGGAACTGAACCTGACCTGGCAGTGGAAGGACCAGTTCCTCATCACTGTTCTACCAGGGAATTCTCAGGCTCTGATTTCTTTAGAGGAAGAAGTTAAAAAATATTTGCCATGTAGTCTGACAACATAGTCATTCTGGATTTTAATTTTTTTCCCCCTCTATCTTTACAATTGTCTCCTCCTCAGTAAATTTTTAAGACTCGTTTCTATCAATACTTTCAAAGCCTTAAATTCTTTGTTTTCAAATTCATTTTACATTATACTTAATCTATTATTAAAGATACTATTGAAATATGATTTTTGAATGAAGTCAATCAGTCTAAGCAAACATGCAACTCAATTGACGAGAGTGGGAGTTAGGGGTTGTGATGGAGGGGTGCTCCGAAGAGTAGCCTGTTGGTCACCAAGGTTGAGTGTCTTGGGCATCAGCCAGTGGTTTTTTACGGGAGGCTGGCAGACAGATGAATCTGCCAGGTTGCTTAAACAGAGGATGATAAAAAGAGAGCCCCCTGTACGTCAATAGGAGCAGGCTCTGGGAAGCCAGGTCAGCGTTGGTTCCTCTCTTGCTCCTACAGCCCACATCCAATCGCTCAGGAGAGCCTCTTGGCTCAAGCTTCCAAACATACCTGTTGCTCTCTACATGAGCCACGTGGCTCCACCTAACCATCACTCCAGGCTCAACTCAGCTGCTCCTGAGGACTGGCAGCCATGTTGAGTAGGGTTCTAATGGTTATTTCCTTTTAATGCACTTTGTGTGTTGCGAATTTTTTGCTCTGGCTCCTAAGCCCCTAGGTATAGGCTCCCTGCATGAGATTTTGACATGCCAAGGGATATGTATTGTATAAAGGGCTTTCTGCTGTGTTATAATGATGGGAGTATGAAAAAGCAGACTTTTGAGTCTGAATGTAAAGTCCCATAGATAGCCCTTCTGTCTAGAAGACGTGCAGCCAGGATAAGTTTGCAGTAATACTTTGCATCAATAGCATTAGGTTTAACTGTGAGTGACAAAATGCCAAAATAGCAATGGTTTAAATAAGATCAAAAGTATTTGGTGAGCAGTCCAGAGCTGAAAGGAAGCTCCACCCCAAAGTCCTCAGGGAGTCACACTCCTTCCATCTCACTGCTCTCCCAACCCCAGACCATGACCCTTCTCAGGTCTAAGACAACAGAGTCGGCATTGGGGGCAGCAAGACAGAGAAGAAAAAGAAGGGAAGGGCAATTTTTCACGTCACTGACCAGAACCTTTTCACATGACTGCACGTAGAAGGTCTCCATTTGGAGCAGCCATGTCCTCACCTGAAAACCAGGCTTTTATCACCCCGGAAGTTAGGAGACAGGCATTAGAGGACATCTAGCAATCTCCATCACCCGGGCCAAATGAGTCGTCCAGGCTTCTGTCTTCGTCTGACCTCTGATCACACATCCTTTGTTCTATTCACTAAGGTCTCATGACATTTAAGAGTGGATTTTTTCAATCCTTAGCTACACTTATCTACTTCTGACGTACTTATCCACTTCATCTCCCAAAGAACGAAGAGTGCATAAGTACATTTGTCAAGATGGTAAAGCTTCCCTGGTGGCTCAGCGTTAAAGAACATGCTGGCCAATGCAGGAGACGTGGGTTCGATCCTTGGGTCAGGAAGATCCCCTGGAGAAGGAAATGGCAACCCACTCTGGTATTCTTGCCTGGGAAATCCCATGGGCAGAGAAGCCTGGTGGACTATAGTCCATGGGGTTGCAGAGAGTTGGACACAATTTAGCAACTAAACAACAGCAACAATCAAGGTGATAAAGAAAGGGAACCTCCTGCCAAGAAGGCACAGATGAAAATATAAGACAAACATAAAAACAGTCATTGGTGTCTTGAGGCTTGTGGGAAATCTCTGGGACTCTTGATCCTGGCAATTTGCCTAGAAGGCCTACTGCCCCCTCTTTTCAGACTCACACCTCTGGCCTCTGTTGAGTGCTCAGCAGGCAGGCACACTGTGTGAGGTCTCTGCTTTCAGGTCCGTCCTTAGCCATCACTAAAGGAGTCTGTTTAGCCTAGTCCATAGCAGCTGCTCATAGTTCCTTGTCCCGGTTGCTTGGCCCAGAGCAGGTAACTATAACCAGCCTTAGACACAGCTACCACACAGAACTAGGGACTTACCAGGTGGCTCAAGTGATAAAGAATCCACCTGCTAATTCAGGAGGTGCAGGAGACATAGGCTTGATCCCTGGGTCGGGAAGATCTGGTGTAGGAAATGGCAACCCACTCCAGCATTCTTGCCTGGAGAATTCCACGGACAGAGGGGCCTACAGAGGGCAACAGAGCATGGGGTCACCAAGAGTCGGACACAGCTGAGTGCTGACACACACGTGGTAATTACTCGGGCTTCCCCAGTGGTGCAGGGTAAAGAACCCGCCTGCCAGTGCAGGAGACCTGAGAGATACGGGTTCTATCCCTGGGTTGGGCGGATCCCCTGGAGAAGGAAATAGCAACTCACTCCAGTATTCTTGCCTGGGAAATCCCATGGACAAAGGAGCCTGGCGGGTTACAATTCATGCGGTCGTAAAAGAGTTGGACCTGACTTAGCAACTGAGCACGCACCTCACACACGGCACAGAAACAGCCCTGCCCACTCCATGGCAGAAAAAGTCAAACACACATTCCAAAAAGTAGGAAAAAGCAGACAGAAGTTTCTGACAGTTCCTTCTTGTCCCTCAGTTTTTTTTATTTTTTTCTGTAAGTGCTAAATGCAAAGGCAGAGAGGAAACAGTAAGTCATAACCTTTCACATCCATAGTTAACACCTTTCATTGTACCTGGCTTAGATTGGTACTTAGACTGTAACACATATCCATAAAGCAAGCCTAAGGGACTGTGACTGTCCCCTGAGAGTGGCAGGGAACTCAGTTAAAAGCTGGTATGTATACAAATGGATCTTTGAAACTGGTCCAGGGGAAGTAGCTGTGTTTAGCACTGACATCTTTCTTAAAAGGTTTTATATGCTTATAATTTCTATTTGATAATCAGCCTAGCCAACATTGTGACTACTATGTAATAAAATATCTGTAATATTAACTATGATTTTTCTTTTCTAGGCTGTATTTTTAATGCTCCTGACCCGCAGGGAGCCATTGTCATGTCGGATTAAGAGCTTTCTCCCTTTCTCCATTAAAAAGAAAAAAAGACCGTCCTTAGGCTGGCTTCATGGGCTTGTGACTTGTGCAGGGGCAGAAGGCTTCTCACTCAGCAGGGCACCACACTTGGTTCTGCGAGTGCCGTCCTGAAATTCTCAAACATTTTGTCTTTGAACTTGTAAATTAAGTTTCTAGGACAGTGGCACGTGCGTGTGAACAGAAGTGTGATGTACAACATGTGTTTGCCTTCTTTCCCCGTAACCCCATTCCATTCATGTAGTGTTCACAGTGCTGTGTGAGCACAGAATTCCTACAGACCCCTGATGTATAGGCGTTCAATGAGACTTAAAGCAAGTACATGGTAAGTGAATTACATTTATTATGACTAATTAAGTGGGAATAACAGCCCCCTAGCGGAGAAGACAATGGCACCCCACTCCAGTACTCTTGCCTGGAAAATCCCGTGGACGGAGGAGCCTGGTAGGCTGCAGTCCATGGGGTCACTAAGAGTCGGACACGACTGAGCGGCTCCACTTTCACTTCTCACTTTCATGCATTAGAGAAGGAAATGGCAACCCACTCCAGTGTTCTTGCCTGGAGAATCCCAGGGATGGGGGAGCCTGGTAGGCTGCCATCTATGGGATCACACGGAGTCGGACTTGACTGAAGTGACTTAGCAGCAGCAGCAACAGCCCCCTAGAACTAGGATTTGCTTGGAATGCCAAAAGATGGCACTGGCATTCTCAGAAACATAAAAAGACCAAGGAAATCTATTATGCCCTCTTTTTTTTTCCCCTGTATAATTACAACAAATCACATAGGCTGAAAATGATGGCATGGAAATAAAGGGCAAGTTAGGGCCACCTAGGGACTTCTTGGTGGTCCAGTGGCTAAGTCTGTGCATTCCCAATGTAGGGGCCCAGGTTTGTTCCCTGATGAGGGAACTAGATCCTGCATGCCGCAACTAAGACCCAGTGCAGCCAAATAAATAAGTACATTTTTTTTTTAAAGATAGGGCCACCCATAATTCTTTTTCTTCTTGTTCTTCCTTGCCAGAAAACTCAAGGTAGAAAGTTAGCAGGATGTGTACATAGCAAGAATTGAACTAAAAACCAGCTGAGTTACTTCTCTGCATTCTTTCCACTCTTATAGTGAGGATAATATATGTATCCATGGGCTTCCTGGCGGCTTAAACAGTAAAGAATCTGCCTGCAATGCAAGAGACCTGGGTTCAGTCCCTGGGTCGGGAAGATCCCGTGGAGGAGGGCATGGCAACCCACTCCAGTCTTCTCGTCTGGAGAATCCCAGGGACAGAGGAACCTGGCAGGCTACAGGCCATGGGGTCCCAAAGAGTCAACACGACTGGAGTGACTCAGCACACAAGCACAAGCTATGAAAAATGAAATATATAATTTTGGTGATTGCACATATGAGTTATACTCATACTTAAAACTGGCATTGTGCAATATAAATACAAATAGTAAAATCCACGCTAACAATTTAAAATTTTTTCTTATTGATATTAAATAGCAAATAATAGCATGACAGTTTGAAAGAGAGAATAGAAGAAAGGAAAACCTTTTAACTTTAGTATCTTTAATGACAATCTTTTCTCCTGCTTTCTGTAAGGGAGCCCCACTATTTCATCTTTCCAGGGTGCTACCAACTATGTAGCCAGCTGTGAACTGGTCCCATTTCTACTCCTAACCTCACTGTCTTTTGTTCTCTCTGAATTTTTATCACATTTGTTGGTCAGGTCCAAACCCAGCCCGTTGGTGAGCTAGGTCTACCCCAACCTGGGAGTAGCAGAATCTTTTCAGTTACTTGGAAGCTGAGATGGTAAGAGAACCAAAGTATGTTTTACAAACATTTCTCCCCTGGTAAGTAAGCAGGCCCTCCCTGCTATAATTTCCCAAGCAATTTGAGCACATTGGAACATTTGCTGTAAACTTTACAACACTCTCCACTAGGTGTCTCTAGCGGATTTGCATAGGCACATATGTAACAGTGAAGGAAATTGTAGCAAAGTTCTTTTCTGTACTAACCACTTCAGATGGGTGGCCTTTAAAATACATCATCATGTTTTAAAGGCTTCCCAAGTGATGCAGTGATAAAGAATCTGCCTGCCAATGCAGGAGACACAAGAGACGTGGGTTCAATCCGTGGATTGAGAAGATCCCCAGAGGAGGAAATGGCAACCCACTCCAGTATTCTTGCCTGGAAAATTCCATGGACAGAGGGGCCTGGTGGGTCAAACATGACTGAGTCAGACATGACTAAGCACGTGTGCGCACACACATGCATACACATACACACATGTTTTAAATATGCTGTTTTTCTTTAAAAACTCATTTCTTTCATTGTGTTTTAAATTACATGCTTCTTAAAGAACTACAGAGTATGAAAAAGTAGAAAGAAGAAAAAACTAAATCCAGACAAAACTACTGTTGGCATTGTAGTCAACTTTCCTAGAGTTGTTTTCTTTCGCTGCATAAAAGAATGAAAACATAAGCTGCAGAGTAGGAGAGATATTTGTAACATATACCTAGCAAAGGATCTATATCCTGTAGATATAAAAGACTCCTAAAAATCAGCAAGAAAAAGATACAAAGTCCAATTAAAAAATGACCACAAGACCCTTTATAAAAGAGAATTACAGCCATTTAAATAGCTGATAAGCATATCAAAAAGCATAAACATCACTAATCAGGAAAATGCATTTAAACACTGGAGAGCCACTACATCCACCACAATAATTAAAGCTTAACAATCAGTGTCAAATATTAGAATTTGAAACAACTAAGTCTCTTACATATACTCATTGGGGGAATTATTTGTACAAAAATATTTGGCAATATATAATAAAGCTGAACATATGCTTATTCTATGACCCTTCTCTTGGTACACACCCAACAGAAATGCATGCAAATAATCATCAAAAGACATGTATAAAAATGTCCAGATCAACAGTATTCATAATAGCCCAAACCAGAAAACTAAGCAAATGCTCAACTATCGTAGAATGAATAAATATAGTATGGTACACAGAAATGGAATGAAACAGCATGTATTTCACATACATAATGTGAAATGAAAGAGGCAGCACACAAAAAGTATATACTGTAAAATACTCTATATAATCTTCAAAACCAAGCCGCACTCATGGAATACACCGTCAAGTTCCCCCTTCAGGAAGTCTTCTTAGGAAGTGCCTCAGCTGAAGAGAGCTATTTGACCTCTGATTATATCCCCAGTTATGGAGCTGGCTATAAAGGCCCTCACTCAACCTAGGAAAACTCTGAAGAGCTGACCCAGGTTCAGAGTGCCTTGTAGAGTTAGCTGAAGACTTTGTTGAGACTGTAATTCAGCCCACTTTTACTTCTGCCGGATCATGTTTCTTCCCTCCTTCCTTTTTCCTCTGGACCCCTGGCCTTCTCCGACCTTCCCTCCCACAAGTACTGGTCCCAGCTGTACCATAATCTCAGCATCTGCTTCCCTGGGAACTTGATCTTCAAAGTGAGAGTAACAATTACCTTTGGGAAGGCAGTGACGGGGAAATGCCAGTAATGGTCTACACCTCGATGGCAGACACATAGGAGTGTTTACTTTGTAAAAATTCATTGCCCTATAGACTTAAGTTTAGTATATTTCACTGTATTTACAGGGCTTCCTGGGTGGCGCAGTGGTAAAGAATCCACATGCCAATGCAGTACCTGCAGGAGCCACAGGTTCGATTCCTGGGTTGGGAAGATCTCCTGGAGGAGGAAATGGTGACCCACTCTAGTATTCTTGCCTGGAAAACCGTATGGACAGAGGAGCCTGGCAGGCTACAGTCCATGGGGTTGCAAACGAGTCAGGTAAAACAGCACACACACATACACATACTATATTAACACTTCAATTAAAACATTTACTAGGGGAAAAAGCCAATGAATATGCTTGATGAATGTGTATATCTGAACAGTCTCTAACTATTTCATTTAGATAAATTCCTAGAAGTGGAACTGCTAGATCAAAAATGGACATTTTATGGACTTTCCTTGTGGTCCAGTGGTTAAGACTGTATGCTTTCAATGCAGAAGGCACAGGTTTGATTCCCAGTCAGGGAACTAGATTCCACATGCATCATGGCTTGGCAAAAAATAAAAAAATAAAAATGGACATTTTAAATTTTGTTGCCTAGTGACAAAATATCCTCCAGACAAGATGTACCAATAGAAATATCATCAACAAATGATCAGAATATTCATTTGCCAACACAAGATAGCATCAATCTTTCAAATATAATAGGCGAGAAAATTAAATCTGGTTGTTTTAATACTCCATTGCTCTTCTTTAAAACTAATTATATGCTGATGATTAGTTGGCCAATTGTAAGCATTAGTGTAGTCCTTGAATTATACAATTTTGCTGTGGAAAGAAGATAAAAGTTTAAATATTTATATTATAAAACCAATGAGCAAAGATTATAGGGAAGCAAGTTTGAACACAATACATGAGGCTTTCGAAGAATTTGAAAATTCCAGCCATGACATAAACTGTGTTCTAACTACCATTAATTTTACAGTCATTAATCAGGTTCAAGTAGAGTCTATGTGACACTTTTCTGGGATTCTAACCATGACATCTAGTTTTCATAATGAATCAGATTATCTCTATTGTGGCTTTTGGGGTGGGAGTAGGAGTAAAATCGTTAATATACCATGCTTAGAAATTCTTTTCTGTATGTACACTTAAAGATCTCATTGATATTTACAACTTTATATCACCTATGTACTTGATTCCCAAATTTGTTAAAGATGGAAAAGAATAAAGGAACAAATGGATTAGAATGAGGAGAAAACCCCAATCTCTCTTTTAAACTCCAGACCCATATATCTAATTACCTGCCTCCATATCTTGCCAGTCGGGGAAACTCAACAGTTCCCAAAGTAATCGACGTTCCCATGCTGCCCACCCCCTTCTTCAGAGACTCCTCCAGCCTTTTAGTTTTCTGATTCTAGCTCTTCTCTTTCATATCCTTCCCTGACGGAAAGCTCTGGGGTCCTGTTCTTATCCTTGAGCTCCTCCTCCCTGCTGTCTCCCCATGCCCTGGGCTCCAACATCCTTGCATCCTTCAAGCTTCCAAGTCACCAACTCACCACGTTCGGCCAGACCTCTCCTCGCCCCGACACCCTGCGCTCACTGCGCAGGCTCTGAGACACCTGCAGTGATCCAAGAAAACCTAGACCGGGGTCGTGGTCTTAGCTCAGCTGCTGTGAGTGATCCGTGACTCTGGGTGGACACAGCTGACTCTGCTATAGTGTCCTCGTTGGAAGGACACTCACCAGAGGCTCTTCCAATGCCTACATCATAAAACTGATTTTCAGTCAGGTCCCCCATTCCCTTAAAACCCTCTGGTGACTTT